TATATATATATATATATATATATATATATATATATATATATATATATATATTATATTACTATAATAAATTTATACTGTTTATATGAATAAATATACGATTAAAAAATAATACTAATATAATAATTAAATATAATAATATAATTCTATTATAAAAATACAAGTAAAATTAATATACATTAAACAAAAAAATCTTATATTACATAATAAACAATTAAACATTCAATAACTTATATAATTTTCATTTCTTAATTTTTAATTATCAATTAAATATTTTTCTCTTCTTAATTAAATAATCCTTTATTACCTAACTGCAAGCTAGTATTTATATAAATCATATAAATTAGAAGCCATCCTTTATTTTTTATTTGCAATTTTTTAACTTTGTTTATTAATTTCTGGTTTAAATAGATATCCATAATTAACATTATTTTTTTTTTATTAAAATTAAGTAAAACATTTTTATCTTAAACACTCAATTTATTATATAAGTTTTCAAAAAAAGAACTAAACTAATTAAATTCAATTTCTAGATTTTCAAGTTCTAATTAATATAAAATCGGTGAAATAATAACCAAAACTTCATCCGGAAGGCATTAAATATTAATATTCTAAGCTGAAATATGTCCGTCTTAATCTGAATCCATTAAATCGAATAATAAAAGCTATATTTTATATTTTTTTTCTTAAATAATCTTTATAGAATTTTTGTTTGGTGAAAATACATTATTTTTAGTATAATTCGGAATTTTAGTATTTTTTTATGTATTATCAAGAATTCGATAATCAAAACTTTTTTATTTTCTTTTTTAATAATTAAATCTTTTCTATAATGAACTATTCTATTTTATCATTTATAAAGATTTACGACATAAAGAAGGATGGAAAGTATATTCTCTTTACATTTCTTCTTTTATTTATTATAAATGTTGATTTTTCTAAGCTAAGAAACTAAACGATTTATTTCTATATTAGTTTCTTTTTAATATATTTCTACTATTATTATTTATTTGAGGTTGAAAGAGATTTTATTAATTATTTTCATCTAAAATTAATTAATTTATAAGCTTTCGTTTTATATTTCGGAATTTGCTATCAAGATATAGTTATTCGTAAATTCCAGAATCAAAAGAAGAACTGTTTTAAATCTTTTTATTTATTTAAGGAATAAAATAACAGTTTTACATTTGTGAGTTTATTTAATTTTCTTTTAAATATTCAAGCTTGCTTTATTTTTTTAATTCGAATTCTAAACCACGGTAATATAAAGAGTCTAATTGAAAATTTTTAAATTTATTTTATCTTAAATCATAGTTTTAAACTGGTTAATTCATGTTATAAGGATATTCTAATTATTAAATTTATGAATATTGTTTTAAAGTGTTATCAAATTAAAATTATTATTATTATTATTATTATTATTATTATTATTATTATTATTTTTACTTTACTTATTATTTTGTTTCATATTGCTCTTAAAGTTTTTTATTCTATATTTATATATCATTTTTATTGTATAAATTTGCATTTTATTCATTAATTTATTATTTTTCCTATATTTTTTATTATTATTGTTATAAATAAAATTATTATTACTATTACTTTTAAAATAATTTTATTTATTAATTCAAAACATTTTATTTAGTTTGCAATTATTACTTATCATTAATAATCTATTAACTTACAACTTAATCATATTATTATTATATTTTTTAATTTTAATTACTTAAACTTGTTTCATTATTACTACTTAATATGTTTGAAGTATTATTATTAAAAATATTTTTATCTATAAATTTGTTTTCTTTTTAGTTTAAAATTGATTCAATTTTTTGATTTAATTGATCTTCTTATATTTAAATTTAATTATTACTATAATTTTATTATTTATTCAATGAATTTTAATTTTCTTTATTTTCATAAAGTATTTATTTTAAAATTATTTTTATATTATTATTTATATTTGCATTATCAATATATTATTAAAATGTATCTTTTAATTTATTTTCTATTATTATAACACATTCTAACTCAAAATTATTTTAAATACAAAATTTTTTTGCTATATTATATATATTATCATTTTCATTTATATTAAGTATATATTTTTCTGAATTTATTAATATAGTAATTGTAAAGTTGATATCTGAATTATTGTTATCTTATATTTTTTTTAAAAAAAAATAAATAAAATTTAATTTAAATATAAAATAAATTTTACTTTACATTTTTTTTTTTTTTATTCAAATAAGAATTTATTTATTTTTTAAACAAAAAAATATAATTTAACAATTAAATTCAGTTTTTTAAAATATAAAATTCACTATAATTTATATATATGTAAAAAAAAAAAAAATATTTAAATTTTTAATAAGTTATTAATTAAAAAAAAAAAAACTAAAAAAAAAAAAAAAGAAATTATAAAAAACTTAATTATTAAAAAAGAAATTTAATATTTCATTTTTTTTTTTATTAAAGTATTTCATTATTATTACATAGTTTATTAATTAAATTTTGTTATGGTAATCCTACATTATTAAATTTTAAATTAGTTTAATTTATTTTTTATTATTATTAAGGAATTTATTTACTCGAAGTTGCACTCTATGTAATACCAATAGGATTTTATTTTAAATTAGTTTATTTTTTCTATGTAGACTAAGCATTATTTCCAATAACATTATTTTGAAAAAAATCTTATTATTCTTATTTATTAACTTTAATAGTTCCAAATTATTAACAATTCTATTAAATATCAATATACTATTATTATTATTATTAAAATTATTATTATTATTAATATTATTATTGCTAGTATTATAATTATTATTAATATAAATTTTCATTATTATTATTATCTTAATTTAAATTATCATTTTTATCATCTTAATTTTTTATATTTTTACAATCTAAATTAGTTAAAACTTCCTATACAATATTAGTTTAATCTCCTTCATTTTTTTTATAAGTATACCCAATAAAATTTACATCTTTTCTTTATTTTTATTTTTTCTAATTTTAGTTCTCCTCACTAATCCAAGGCTCTTCATTTTCGAAATTTTCGCAATATTTAGTATCAATATCACTACTTAATTCTGGAATAAAAAGAGGTTTCGTTTTTTTTATATTTTTCCAATCTACTTTAGCAAAAAATGGGTGTACCTAATTAAATATATATATTAATAGTAATTTTTATTATTTTATATAGATATACTTTTATTTCCTCTACACCATTAACACCTAATCTTTCATTAGGATTAGCAATAAGTCTTCTTAATAAATCTATAGCAGCAGGAGATAAATTAGCCTCTTGAGGTATTTAAAAAGTTTATCTCCAATTAAGTATTTTAGAACAAGTACTAGAGGGATTATCAGAAAAAAAAGGCGGATATCCGACTAACATCTCATAAAGGATAACACCTAAACTCCACCAATCGACAGTTTCTGTATAACCAGTTTTACCAAAAACTTCAGGAGCAATATAATCAGGAGTTCCAACAGTTGAATATGCTAAGATTCTATTTCTTCTATATCCAGAACGTTTACCTATTTATAATTATAAAGAAGGTTTTTCTGGTTCTTCTTTTTTTTTCTCTATGTCAAGTCTTTTAGATCTCATTTCAGTATGTTTACATAATCTTTATAAATATATATATATATATATATATAATATTAATATACATATATAACTATACCCGAAATCTGTTAATTTAATATGTCCATCTTTACCTATTAAAATATTATCAGGTTTTAAATCTCTATGTATATAATTCATTTTATGAACAGCATCTAATGCTAATAAAGTTTCGGCAGTGTAAAATTTAGCTTCTTCTTCAGTTAGTATATCTTTTTTCATTAAAAGAGACATTAAGTCACCTCCTGGTACGAATTCCATAACTAAATAAAGGAATTTTTCATCTTAAAAGGAACATTACAAATCAACTATCCACGTTTTATCAGCTGTAGCCATTACATCTCTTTCTGCTCTTACATGTCCTACTTAATTTTTATTTACCATTTCTTTTTTAATCATTTTTTTAACAGCTACAACCATATCTAAAAAAAAATATATGTAAAAAATTAAATATATATAAATATATAAATATATAAATATATAAATATATAATATATATATATATTTATATTTATTTTTTTATTTATTAATATATCTTTTTATATCTTTTTTTACTATTTTCTTTCCATCTACATAATCGAACTTCTCCAAAAGCACCTTTTCCTATAATTTTTACAGGATCAAAGTCATATGGTGTTAATTTTTGTCTTGCTTGTCTCATTTATTCTGCTTCTCGCATTAAAATTTCCTTTTTTATTGTTTCTTTTTCTTCTTCTGTAAAGTTTAATGCTTACATTTTTTATATTAATAAATTCCAGTTTTCTTTTTATCCTTTTCTTTTTGGATGTATTTTGAATATTTTTGTTCTATAAATGATTTAGCAGAATCAACTCTTTCCTTTGTGGCATTTGAATATTGGAAAGTATTATTTAATTATTCTGATTGTTATTATTCTTGTATTTATTATTGCATTTTTTTTTTAAAAAAAAAATTAAATTTTTTATTTTATTTTTATAAGCTATTTTTCTTTTTTTAAAAAAAATTTAGAGATATTTAATAGATTTTATATTGTAACCTTTTTTATTTACTTTTTTTTTTAAAAAAATAATTAAATAAGTTAAAATGTTTTTTTTATATTATTTTTTTTCCTTCATTTAATTAAATATATATTATATGTAAAATATAAATGTTTTAAGCAAAAAATTAACTTTAATGTTTATATCTAAAATAATAATATTTTTATTAAAATAAAATTAAATTCATTGATAATTAATTTAAGCATAAAAACATTATTTAAAAATATTAACTTAAACCTATTATAATAATAATTAATAGTTTATAATTAATTATATCAATGATAAAATTTTATATTCAATAATATTAACAAATTTAAAATAATTACAATCTCTTATATATCTTTAAAACATTGAATTTCGATAGTTAATAATATTTAAAAGCAAATTACTTAAATTATTATTTAATCTTTATAAAAATACCAAATAAAATATAAACTAAATATTATACTTAAAAAAAAAAAGTATAATTAATTATAGATTTCAATGAATATACTAGAAGATAAATTTTATAATCACTTTTTACATGTTTTCAAAATAATTATTTAAAATTTTTTTTTTTTTAAATGTACTAAAAAATATGATGACTATATATCAATTTATAATTTTAAGAAATGCTTTGAAAAAAAAGAAAAAATACTTCATAAATTAATATATTTATTAAACTAAAATTTTAAAAATTAAATTAGTAAAAGATTATTTATAATAATATTTAAATAGATTTAATTTTCTATTAAATAAAAGCAAAGTATTTAAATAAATTTATGGGATATAAATATTATCTATATATATTTTTTTAATAATATCATAAACAAGTTGATTTTTATTTAAACAAAATATTATTTGTAATAGTAGATTATTATTATTATTTTATTAATTAATAATATTTTAGCAATATGCTTTATTATATAATGTTTTTTTTATTTATATGGAATGAGTCTGAAATTATTGAAAACTATAAAATTCTAAAATGATTAAAATAATTTTATAATGTTTTTAATTTTTAATGAAAATACTATTATAATTTATATTAATATATTCGATTTTCTTAATTTATATTTTTAGTTATTAAAATGATTTTAAAATCACAAATTTCCATGTTTTTACTTATTATAATAAAATCCTGAAATTGATAAAAATTTCTTAATTTTTAGAATAGTAATTTATTTATTTATAAATAAATAATCATTCTTTTATAATTAAATAAATAAATAATTATTTATTAAATTTTTATTTAAAATATTACTAATATTATTTAATAAATATAAAATAAATAGATAATTTTATATTGTAATTTACTTATTTTTATTAAATATATTATATATATTGAAAATTAAATATTCAAGAAAATAACTTTAGTTAAAAAACTAAATAAAAAAAATGTAAATATTTATTTTCGTTTTCAAAACAAATCTCCAATAACTAATTATATTATAATTCACATTTATACTAAAGAGTGAAAAACATTAGTTTTATTATTTTACAAACAAATAAATAAAATTAAAAATAATAATTAATTAAGAATATTTTTTAATGTAAAGTTGATCAATTTTTTATAAAAAATAAAATACTATATATTATATATATAAAAAAAAAGGCTATTCATTATT